ATGATTCTAAGAAACGCGTGCGGTTTAACTGCACGAGTGGAATTAGCCAGGAATGTTATCCGCGTAATGCGAATGACTGAACGGACAGGCATTATCGATGACAGAAGCGGCGCAATTATTCGCCATTTTGTTTCGCGTTTACCGATACTCGAGATCCATCTTTTCAAATCGAGATCGAAGCTGCACGGCAGCTCCTCGTCTCGTTTCTCGACACGCGACTTGCTCCGCCACGTGGAGAAGCGTCGCGCTTTTCCCCAAAACGGAGTCCTGGATAAAAACGTTGCGTCGGCACAGACTCGACTCGGAAACCACACGCGGTTTATAAATAGTTTCGTGCACGACCGCGTGTTCTTTATTATCACTCGGTGAGGTTGGCGAACAGATATCGCGTCCATATTTGAAACGCTTAGTCACGCGACCTCGATGACTTAAAAGGCTCTTTTTACTGCTTCTCCAATTAACTTTTGAAAAATACCGCCCGAGATGCCGGATGCGCGCTTCGGGAGTCGTCGCGTGCGTCTTATTATTTTTAAAAAGAAAGGAGATAAGAAGGAAATCTGCGCGATCTCTCCTCAGACCCGAAATGTTCCGCATCAATTCGTCCAGCTATCCATCACTTGGCGCGAAGATACTTAAGATCTAGATAAATTTTCCGCTCTGCCACGCGAAACGCGAGTTCCTTGGTATAACCTTACGTCATGGTTTGCGCGGTAAGATCGGCAATTTTTGCGAATCGCTCTGGAATAAAAAGATGTGCCTCTCAATGGCGAGCAGTTTTCCTTGATAAAATGATACGTTCTTCGTGCGACGGACACGTATCGTTAAAAATAATGAAGCTGCAGAAAATATTAATCTCGAGACGACAGGAAAAACAAAACAAAACACGCTGCTATTCTTGAGCGTCGCTCGAAAATATTTGCGTGATAGAATAAAATTTATTGTAAGTTCGGTTGTGAGAACTTGCTAAACACATTGCGTTGCGAACGCAGTTTCTTTCCTGCATGTAGAAAGAATCTCCGAAGTTCGAGTAATCCTCTCTTCTTGCTTCTATCTTGAAAAACTAACGAAATCAATTAAATCTCGCTTGACTTTAATTCATGGCAATTTCTATCAATGCAGATTAACTTTAATTCCCGTTTAACTGAGTTTTTATCTCTTTCCAATTCCCGAAGCTAAGAAATGATAAAAAGTAAGTTAATTCCGAGTCGAGTATTTGGTCTCGGAATGGGCCTCAATTCTACTCTGTCTTCATTTTGACCCCAGAGTCAGTTTGAAACTCCAACTTGAGGCCCAGATGAGTAAAACAATTGTGTCTAACCTTATTCTAACCCTCAAAGAGAATGTAATGAAATATTTCATCCTCTTTGAAACTACTTAGGCCGAAGAGGATCCACTAAACTTCTGTTGATTACACTCGCATTGGCCTTTTTACTGCTAAAAATGGCGACTGTTTTCAGGCCCATCTGGGGTAAAAACTGTAATATATTTTCCCCGACGCGAAGACCTTAGTTCGACCCATTGCTCTCAATTCAAAAATTACACGAGGCTAAACTGAGTCCAAAATATCAACTTGGGGAGTTGAGTATTTGGTCCTGGAATGGGCCTCAATTTGAGGCCCAGATCAGTAAAACAATTGTATCTAACCTCATTCTAATTCTCAAAGAGAATGTAATAAAATATTTCACCCTCTTTGAAGCCTCTTAGGCCGAAGAGGATCCACCGAACCTCTGTACACTCTCATTGGCCTCTTTACTGCTAAACACGAAGACCTTAATTCGACCTCATTGCTTCCAATTCAAAACGAGGCTGAACTGAGGTCAAAATTATTCGACTCTGGAATCTGCATTGGCGGAAATGGGCATTAATAAAAGATTTGTGGGAACGGAGTGAAACGGGTTTTACTGGTACGAGCGAGCTATTACCGAGTACCGTACACTTTGTACAGATAATCACCGAGCAATCGTTCCAATTAATATCTTAATTTTGCGTTACGAGCCGAACGCGCCTAGGAGGATTATTTAACGCGGCGCGAGGGTTTCGCGCGCTCCACCCATTTCGTCGCGCACCGCGGCGAGATATAATTACACGCGCGAAACAACATCGCGATTTACACCCACGACGGGACGGTGAAAGTACAAATGACCGCCGCCGCCTGCATACTTATGCAGCCACGTTCCCTACGGGGCTCTTACGTCGCGCGATTATCGCGCGCCGAACTCTCTCACGTTACACACTCGCGGGCGCGTTACACACGTTAACGCGTCAAACGTAAGCGCCGATATGCATCGGCACCGGCCGAGACACACGCGGCGCATTCTTTCGCCGTAGCTTATTGTGCAGTCGCATAATCGAATTGACGAGGTATGTCGAAACGAATGCGGGCCTCTCCCCCTCCCCTCCCGCTTTTCTCGAGAAAATATTAATATGCGCGCGCGACTTTGTATGTAAAACTTTGCGAAACACCATTGCCTCATGTCATTGTAATGTCGCTTCCTAGCTTATGGGGATTCGCAACGCTCGCGGAGAGACCACCGTGATCATTGTACGCGCCGTGCTGGTTAATGCTAACATAATAATGTTAATTTATTGGCGTTTATTCGCGCAGAACGGTCTAATAATAGCGACACGATACGCGAGTACCGTATTATCTGACTAATTTGCATCTTTGTACGATTCCATGATGATGACGAATAAAATATGCCACAAAAATATTCCCACCAGTTTTATTAATTGCAGATCGAGTTTTCAGAGCTGAATATTTTAGCCTCGTATAATTTTTGAATTGGGAGCAACGAAATCGAACTAAGGTCTTTGTGTCGGAGAAAATACATTGAGTTTTCTACCTGAGATAGGCCTGAACAGAGTCGCTATTTCCCTTTTAGCAGTTAAAGAGGCCCGTGCGAGTGTAATCAACACAAGTTCAGTGGAGCCTCTTCGGCCTAAGAGGTTTCAAAGAAGGTGAAATATTTTATCACATTCTCTCTGAGGATTAGAATGAGGTTAAACACGATTTCTTTTACTCATCTGGACCTCAAATAGGAATTTCAAATAAAGATAGAATAAAATAATTGGGGCCCATTCCATGATCAAATACTCAACTCGGGAATTGTTGGCGAGCCTAAGGCCCAGTCTACAATGAGTCGTTAGTCGTTAGTCAGAAGTCGCAACTATATGTTGATCCTTTTCCTTTCTGGGTGGAAGAAAAAGGACCGACATATAGTTCCGACTTCTGACTAACGACTAACAACTCATTGTAGACCGGGCGTAAAGAAATCCCGCGGGGCCAAGTGTACGAGTGACCCTGGAATTTGCAAGTTTAAAGGATGATTATGCACATTTTGGCTTTTAGATAGGTAATAAATCGACAACTACCGCGAATCCTGTCGTGTCGCAACGCATATCGCGCGGACGCGCGCGTGCATGTCCTGCTCGTTTATCAGGCGGTGTTTCGTTTCGTAGGAGTGGCCGTTTTAAGGCTTGCCAATTTTTGCTGATAAAAAAAGAAAGAAAGAAGGGCTCGATCCACATCGCTGATCGCAGCGTCGATTCATAATCTAAAGATACAAAGATATATTGTTATTATTCTTTTCTTTTATCTGAATGCCGCTTTGATTGATTATCGCGCGTTTCGTATGGAAATGCGATACGCTTCACGTGCACAAAAATCACGCGTTACGTAACTCCGCGGGTCGTCGTGGCGCATTTGAGACTCTTGTATAACAAACCAAAAACCTCATTCTAACTCTCAAAGAGAATGTGAGAAAATATTTCACCCTTTTTGAAACCTCTTAGGCCAAAGAGCGTGTATCGAATCTCTGTTGATTCTCTCTCTCTCGCGTTGGCCTCTTTACTGTTAAAAATGGCGACACTTTTCAGGCCTATCTGAGGTCAAAAATTCAGTACATTTTCTCCGATACGAAGACCTTAGTTCGACCTCATTGTTCCCAATTCAAAAATTATATGAGGCCAAAATATCAACTAGTGGTGTCGAGTATTTGGTCCTGGAATTGGCCTCAATTTGTGCCTCAGATCAGTAAAACAATTGTATCTAACATCATTCTAACCCTCAAAGAGAATGTAACGAAATATTTCATCCTCTTTGAAACCACTTAGGCCAAAGAGGATCCACTAAACTTCTGTTGATTACACTCACATTGACCTCTTTATTGCTAAAAGAGAAATAGCGACTCTTTTTAGGTCCATCTGAGGCCAAAATTTTAATATATTTTCTCCAACGCAAAGATTAGTTCGACCCATTGCTCCCAATTCAAAAATTGCACAAGGCTACACCGATTGTGAGTCTAAAATATCAACTCGGAGAGTCGAGTATTTGGTTCTGGAATGGGCCTCAATATGAGGCCCAGATCAGTAATACAATTGCATCTAACTCTCAAAGAGAATATAATAAAACATTTCACCCTCTTTGAAGCCTCTTAGACCGAAGAGGGTCCACCAAACCTCTGTTGATTACACTCGCATTAGTCTCTTTACTGCTAAAAGAGAAATAGCGGCTCTTTTCAGGCCCATATAAGGTCAAAACTTTAATATATTTTTCGAACGCAAAGATTAGTTCAACCCATTGCTCCCAATTCAAAAATTGTACGAGGCTAAACTGAGCCCTAAATATCCATCTTGGGTTATTTAACCCACATAAATCTTTTTTCTGAGTGTGATAACGCACCGATTGGCATTTAGAGAGCGGGACTCATCGATCGTCGATCCCCTGTTCACTCGGGCGCGCTATAATGATTCATGAAGTGCCGCGGCGCGACGAAATTGTAATACATGTTATACTATAATTATAGCGCGTAGTCAGCAACGGTGCTCCCACCGCGTAGCCGGGCGCCGTCCAATGCCGCGGTGAAAAGTGACGCTGGTCGCCAGCCTCTCCGAGCGAGTGGTTACGCCCCGTGCAGGGTCAGACTCGCGGATCCGCGCCGCAGGCACCTAGTTATGTTTACGCGGTCAGCGCGGCTGCCAGCGAGCCGTCGCCGTCGTCGTCGTCGTCGTCGTTGCGTGCACCTCCGCGTTCCCTCCGGTACCGATCGCCGCGAGAGACTTGGTACCGCTGTGGCTCGACGGTTCTTATCTGCGCGGCGAATACCCAACGACGTCGTGCTCCTCGCCGCGTGCATTTTTCGCGCCTTACGTGACGCTCACACGTACGCCGATCACGAATGCAGCGAGGTGTCCGGTGCTGACGGTCGAGCTAACGTGTTTCCGGCGTGTCCTCATCCGCGTCTCTCCGGGCTTTCCGCTCGCGGAAACACCGAGCGCGATAACGTTCCGTCAACAGACTCGCTCCGCGATCTCACGCGCGTCAAGTTTCGGAGTTCGAACGCGTTATCGCGAAACGTAATGCTCGATAGTGGTATTTATCAGTCGTAGATTCGGCGCTCGCGTTGCCGCACCGCCGCCGCTCGATCATACGTGACGTCTCTGACGTGAGCCAACGTACTCTTCTCTCTCCGCCGTTTCGAACGCGCACGACGTAACGGCGCATCGTTGCATTTTTCCTTTTTTTTTTCCCTCGGCGAGACAGAGTCCTCGATCCTCGCCCGAGCGGTAGCGACGGTAGTTCCTGCCGGTCACGTTGCGGTCCACGAGGGGGTCCCGGGAGTGCTGCCGGTTCTGTTAGCCGAGACGCGTTAGGCGCTTCCATTAGCTGGCCATAATTAATATGCGCTAGCGCGAGAGGCAGCGCCGAGGTGCCTTCGGTGACGATTGTGAAAGAGAGAAAGGAACATCTGGCGCGGAGGTGCTAAACTCCGCGGGCCTCGTCCACGCGCCAACGCCACGGACTCCGTCGAGAAGAGACACCCGGACGCGCGTAGACCTCGCTCTTTCCGATGAATGCCCCTCCGAGTTTAGACGAGGACAGCAGCAACGTGAGCGTAATTAGTTCGGCGCTGTAAGACCGAGGAAGATTAAAGTCGAGAAAGCCGTCGCGAGAAACCGTCAGGCTCCTCGATGAGCTTGAATGGCGACGATGGGAGTTATCGTATATATTCCAAGTAGGTAATTTCGCTCCACGGTGCGCTTTGACTCCTCGCGACGCTCGTCGCCTACAATCTACAATGTGCTCTCTGCATCTCGAAGCTTTCTATTTTATAAAAACGGATCGAAACGCTTAAAAAAATTGTCGACGATGTACGAACTCGCGCAAAGTTTTTAACCGTGTTTAGCGACTATAAGCTAGAACGTTTCTAGCCGCAAAAGAGCGCAGTAGATTAGGCTTTCCTCCTATTTCCAGTCCCACTCGAAAGCCCGGGCTGAAGCGTTTGGTTCTTGCTTTTTTAACGTTGCGTCTTTGTAAATCTTCTACGGTTACCGGAATGCGGTAAAATATCGACTCGGTGTGATAAGGTAAAACTCGAAACCAGAAAAAAAAACAGATGATATCGGCGATAATGCGACTTTCGAGGAGCATTTTGCGTATTTCCCTACCCGCTTATCTGCCCCGCGACGTAACGTTTGCTCCAATATCCGGCCAGTGGAAATAAAACGTGAAAATTGCAGTGTCACTCGACTCGCGAATTTCCATGCCGCGGTCGCGTTGCATGTTTATCGGCCCTGACTCGGCGGCGACCAGGAAATGAGAAAAATGCGCGCGGATAACGTCTCTCAATCGGTGCCTTATGAAAAAGATAGCGCGCACGATATACATATGTATTTACGTTGCCCGATCATACGATCTGCGTCATCGGTGCGATATGCCGACCTATATGACAGCTCGATCGGACCGCGCGCACCGCTAATGAAATCATCTCGGGAATAATGAAATTAGAATGAGAGTCTAATAAGTCTAGTCGAATAAAAACAAGCGTTACGTAACGCAGACATCGAACGCGCGGCTGATCCTTGAGAGGTAACGCTCGACGACGTGATAACAGTATCGTCTGCGTCATGCTGAGTCATGATAATTTGGCATACACGTGCGTTTTAACTTCATTAAGAATAATACGAGATATTATAACTCGAGACCGGCCGGCGATACAACGGATTTCTATCAAGAGCGTGATAAAATGTAGCGATTCGATAGACACTGAATTTTTTTTTTTAAGATCGCCTCGTTTGATGTGATAAGAGTATTCTGAATTAGCACACCCAGAAAAAGATTTGTTCGCAATCAAAGTTCCTTGGAATTGTGACCTTACTAGACTTTTGTTTAATTCCAAAGAAATGATTTCTTTATTTTAATCAAAATTTTATTTCGTCGAGACTGGAATTTCTGAGAGAATTAATATCTATTTTTTCAAATCTAGCAAATGTTTTAGTAGAAATAAATATAGAAGAAAGTCCCCTATATGAGATAGCGGGGTTTCTACAAAATTAATAGGCATCGTCAGTTAATTCCACCATGAATTTAGTGCCCTTAGAGCGAAATCTGTTGGGTGGAAAATTGATTGTTAGATCGTGTGAATAGGTCGTAAATTTGGACGTTGAAAACCTACTATCTCATAGTACAGGACTTTCCTCTAAATTTAGCAGATTCGGAGAAATATGATTCAACGTGTCCCATTTGTTTAACGTAACTAAATCTTTTTTCTGAGCGTACTGATTTATATAAGATACACTGAGAAAAAATCTTTAAAAATTTATGTGTGGCATATAATGTTCATTTCAGTGAAAATAGCCGCACAGTGCCGATAGCTGTAGTTCATAACGAAATCTGACTACGTACAATTGACTTGAGAAAGGGAAATGGAAGAGAGAAAATTATTAAGACCGATAACATTCACAATATCGCGCTAATGTAATTCTAAGAAACCTCGCTCTTATCGCGCTATTTACAAAAGACGGAAATGAGAGTAATATCTCTCGCTGACATCTATCGAATACAATATTTGGCAATCAGTGACAGATAGCGTTTTGTAATGCTCGTGCTACAAAGTTCCACTGGATCGATATGCGTTTTAAATTATTGGCTCGCGCTCGAACAAAAGAGATCCTCGAATATTTGCGATGCTTCACGTGTGATAATGTATCTCGTACTCGAGATATCGTGAAATTTCAGACGCTCACATTTTTACTTGTTCATATAAATATTCAAAAATAGACACGAGCCAAACGGAAGGCAAATATAGGATCAACCGTGCAACGCGGAGGAGCGAGCTAAAAAGAACGCGGCGCATTTCCTTTTTCGCAACTAGTTGATAATAACGACTTAAGCCTCGAACTAGTCACGTACGGTTCGATGGTACTCTGTCACGCTTCTGCGAACGTTGTATCAGCCGCATTGTACCCTAGACCGCGTATTCTATGTCGTTTTAAGAAGACACACGTGAGCTAACACGGAACAATTTCTCGGATCGTCTTGTCCTTATTACGAGCCGTGTAAAAATTCATGCATTATTAATATAAAGCAGTTAGGCGCAAATATTTCCCGACGTAAGAAAGTTTTTTTCCACAATGCTAATTGACGATGACTGCGGGGACATTTATTCATAATCGTATTGTGAACGATAATAGTTTTGTGGATAACGAATTCAACTCAATTGCGCAGAAGAAGCTTAGCTTGTTTACGAGAAAAGTAAGATAAATTTAAGAGTGGCCGTCCACATAATTCATCAGTTTTGTGCTTATTTTACGAAAGCAATATTTCTATAAAGATATCCGGGTTAATACACGTTGTTCTATTAGACAATTGAATAAAAAGTTTGGCACACGAAGATACTTGGAGTGTGCTTCTTAACATCTGAAAATTATATTCAGAGAGTTTTCCATTGTGGACAGACGACATATCTTCAATCGATTCCATTGGCAATAGTTTATGAAAATAATCGTATGCTAAACAGAACGTTGTTATATGTGCGTCAGTCGATATTTTGCTTGCAGAAGTAAGACTTTCTAATAAAAGAAATCGATCGTCTCTTTCAAAATAACTGCTCATAGGTCAGTGCAGAGCAACTTTATTTCTTGCAACTAGTGCAACATTGTTTGCAACAATGATAATCTACTGATAACGGGAATCATGTGCCAATGTATCTTCCCCTTTATATTTGCACGCTTTTTTCTCGTCAGTTTTATCTCACAATCGGCGTGGACTTTAAATCCAATTGATATTAATAGGCATGTTTGATCAATGATATATTTTTGATTATCTTGAGTCATCAAAAACTCCCTTGAGACACGTAAAATCTTTTCAAATGTATATACTCTGATAATAACTTTATACATATCAAAGTAATCGATATAATGTAGCGAAAAATGTATATATGTGTACACACACACATAAAACACGTGAATCATATAATAAATAAAAACGACTTTTTGTTTATCAATAGTGACACAATCTACCAAGTAACAGCTTTTGCGTATTTTTTCTTCTTCTTATATTAAATGAAGAGTATTCCGCAGGTAATGTGTACTGGTAGTCGTGAAACTTATGCATGTTGTAAATAGTCGTCCGTGCAAAAACCGGTTGTAGCAAATGTCATGTTTGCGAAGAAGTGTTTGCTATCGAAAGGCCCGAATGCCGGCGTATCAGAAATTGCCTTCGTTCGTCTGTAAAATGCTTTTTGTAGTCACGTTAAACTTGGCGCAAACACGATGTTTGCGCGAGAGCGCTACGTTCCCGAGGAATTTTCACGCGAAATGTAGACAATGGCCTACTTCGGTATGCATATGCTTTTAGGATCGTAAACACAAAGCTACGCTCGCGCAGAGATAAGAAGTGATTATATCAGGTAAAAGGACGTGAGCACTGTACTACCGTGTCTCGTGATCTCGAAAGTCCAACATGTAACTGACATAAACATAAACAATGTTACCGAAAAGAAATTATCCAAAAATGTTCGGGCATAACCATGTGGGATGATTATATAGAATAGATGTCGAATGTTTGAAAATAATTATATAGAATTGTCTAACTTATTATATATTTCTATTGTGTTTCAGGCATGTACACCATGCGCATGTTGGACAATGGTAGCAACAATGCGTCCGGGCCGACCGGTGCGGCGGCCTTACCGAGTGTCCAAACAACTGGCGGCACAACTTCGACGGCTACGGGTGTTACGACTCTACCTGGTGTAGCCGACGAAAGGATGGACGCTTCGAGCGACAGTGCTGTCAGTAGTATGGGCAGCGAACGCGTACCGTCTCTGTCGGACGGCGAATGGATGGAAACTGGATCCAATTCCAGCCATACTCAGGCCGACTCCCATTACACCATGGATTACGCGAGGTAATTAATATCATGAGTGAGTCACTCCCGACGGAGATTAGAAATAAAATGTTAACATTCTTGTTTGATTAATCATGAATAATCGTGCATCGAGATGTAACATATGAGATAAATTAAAGCGTATATAATAATCTTTTTGTCTTCGAGCCATGGAATAATGTTGGCAGTTTCGTTTCCGACACTCATTTCACGATTGTAAACGAGAGAAAAGATTTAATGCGTAGCGTACTTTGCGTTTATTAATCAAGTTTCGATTGAATTATAGCAAATATCGCATGCCATACGACTGCAACTACACAGTGTCCGCGAGAAATGCCGGTTCGCCGAGATGCCAAACAGAACGAGCGGTACCACCAGTCGCACAGAAGAAACATCAAATGTTCGCCAAGCGATATTTCCAGGAGCAAGGCACTTGTTAGTATTTAGAAGTAACCTTATGGTTGCGGCTTTTTGCAAGCCGCTACGAGACGATGCAACAGAGAGTCTTAATCGTCAAACAACTTTCAAACTAGGTTCACCTTTGGGGGCCACCGCACATCCGACCACTCCGATGAAATACGACTATGATACTCATACAGTTGGCGCGGGTGCACCGGGAAATACATATTCTGGACCAATCGAGGGTGCGGCCGGGCCGCAGCCAGAAATTAAATATAGCTGTAGCGTGGACTTCAGTCGTCATCAATCGGGTAAGAAAACAAATTATATACAGATTTATCTAGTAGAAGAATCTTCGAACGACTGAATATCATCATCTTCGAATGACTGAATAATTTCCTAAATAAAGAAATCTGATTTCTTTTTCTTTTACTTTTAGGACGATCTGTCATAGAACATGTTCATCACAATCACACCTATCATTTGCCTGCCGAGAGCTCAGGATCTCTTCAACGTCCCATTTCCCGCGACAAGAAAGGTAATCCCATCTTTCCAGTATTTTTGATCAAATCAATTTTTTTGATCGTTCGATTTTCTGAGATTATCAATATTAAATGTTTATCTATAAAATATAAATTTCAGTTCGCAAAAGCGAAGCGGAGGAACATCTAACGAGAGATGAGAAGAGAGCAAGAGCATTGAGTGTACCGATTGCAGTCAGCGACATCATCAATCTCCCCATGGACGAGTTTAACGAACGTCTCAGTAAATATGATCTCAGCGAAGCCCAACTGTCTTTAATACGCGACATTAGGAGACGGGGCAAAAACAAAGTTGCCGCACAGAATTGCCGCAAACGCAAATTGGATCAAATCATAAGTCTGGCTGACGAAGTGAAGGAGATGCGAGATCGTAAGATAAGACTCATCCGCGAGCGCGAGTTCATGCTCATCGAGCGACAACGGGTGAAAGATAAATTTAGCCAACTTTACCGTCATGTTTTTCAGGTATTATTAATAATCTAATTTCTTTGCAATTAAATATAATTAACGGATATTTTGTTTTGTTATCTTCAACTGAAATAACACTAGAGGCGATAAAAAGAAAGTTATAACATTTAATAAATTATATTTTAGTCCTTACGGGATCCTGATGGTAATCAATATCATCCGTACGAGTACAGTCTACAACAATCTGCAGACGGGAACGTCTTATTAGTTCCCAGAAATCAGACGAATCCGCATCAGTCGCGACAGTCTTCGATGGAGCCGAAGACCAAACCCGATCCTGAGCATAAAGAATGAACTGCTCCAGGATCGTACGCGATGTGATTGATTATTGAAAAACCTTTGTTTTTCTTAGACAGCGCGTCCAAAAGCGTAATGGAAACGAACACGGTGCTGGGCAGCGAATATCGTACGCGTTATTAGATTTATTGCGTAACAATTCGAAAGAGTAGACTCCAATGGTTTTAGACTTGATATACCTCGCACTGTGTCCAAACAACGAAATTTGTCAAGGCCAGCTTAAATCACGACTACGTGATTTTTGGCAAATGACTTTGTAACACATTTAGAGAGTTTAGTAGGAAGAAAGATGGGATTTAATGATCCTAATGGTGATTTTTGTGTGCATGGGTGATGCTACAGTTTTCAGTTACTTTGACTACCCGTGTTAATACATTTTCACCTTAAAAAATCATAACTTATCGCATTTTCTTTTCATTTTCATAATCAAAGATTTTTATATTACAGAAAAGAGAGCATCGGGTATCGTTGTATTTGTTTGTACATAATAATATATCTGTTGTCACTGTCTTTAATAAGACCAATAATTAATAGTAAAATAAACCGAAAGCTTCATAATTTTCCTATGCTTTATTTAAGCTACGTCGATAGATGATCTTAAAACACGTTTCAAGAGTTTATACTGGCCTTATAGCGACATATAATATTACTTGTGAAAAAATAATGGAATGTGTTATAGTATGCGAGTTTCTCTGTGATTGCCTAAACAAATCACGATGTCTATAGCGTTAAAAAAAATTACAACTATTAATATACGTAAATAGTAAGAAAACGTAGTAAGATGGTTATCATATTATGGAATCACGCACGAGAACTGTTGTGTCACCATAATTAAAACGACTCTAAATTAACATCTTATTCCAATTACTATTCTTCCTGCTTTAAGCGTAAAATATGCTTGTTAACTTCTTAATCTACGTAAACGTGTAACTCACACACGTGCAGTGATATATTATACATTCAAAAAGCTCTTTTTTTATATTCACGAAGCGGACTTTATCACGTTTCGACATAATTGCTTCTATGAAATGTATCTATGATTATGATATATGTAAATTGAATCATATATATATATAAATAGAAATAAATATATATATATATAATTTATACATTGAATTATATTTCATAGATCAAGAAATACAACAATTGTGTTGAACGTATCCAGTGATTTTTACCTATCCAGTTGATTAAATGATTATTGTTAGTAATATACTTGATTACCAAAATTATGATACATTCATTCATAAACAGTCGCGAGCAAAACGCTACGACATTGAGTACATCGTCTGCGTGTAACAATGGTAGTAAAGTGAATGTTAATCACGCGCGTATGTACTATTAAATAAATTTTGTTGTGTTATAAACTTAGAGTATACGTATGATTTGAAGCGCTTGCAATTCCAGAAGCGATAGTGTCGTGAATATATAATGCAAAATTGTAATTAATGTAATGCAAAATTGCATTTAATTGCGGACAAAAGTAGAGAGCGAAGCGATAAAAGGCAAATGATTGAGGCATTGATGGGATACAGCAAATTTGCAGTAACTAATCTCCGAACCATTTTGTGTTCCATAGAGAAAGCAGCTTAAACAGATACTTTAAATTTCACTACATTCAGGTAGGCCGCAAACAAAACACATTGTAATGTGTATTACAAGTAATATAGTAAATAATACAAGTGTATGAATATACACTTACTGCGACGTACTGTAATGCTACAATATATTAAGAATAGCATTCATTGAAATACGAACAAACATAATGAAAACACATATTTTTATAAAATAAAGAGATGAGAAATGTTCAGGTATTTCACATTTGCCTTTTTATGTATATATTAATGTAGCTAGTATAATTTTCTATAAATATTATAAATATATATATATGAAATAAATGTATGTATTTATGTATATGTAAATGTATATATAAATACATATACACAAAGAGTAATGATAAAATATATGTTATAACGTTAAAAAAACGAATGAAAATGCAGTTTATGTCAGTAATAATTAATAATCATTATTAACATTTACATACACAATTGTATTCATACTATTGGGTGTAGGATGCCTTTTACATATTGTACTTAGCGAGCGGAGATCTCGGCAAACCATTGTAAAAGATAATAATATTAATTTATAAGAACTCTGTTCGTCTATTGTACAAATGATTTGGATTCGCGCAAACTTGCAAATCCATATACTTGCAATGAAGATCTCCTTCTGTCATTAAATTTCTATATTGTATAAATAAAGCTGAATAAAATCCTCTGGGGAAAGTATCGTATCTGACTTGTGTTTGATTAATTAATCAATACCTATTTTATATGTGACTATTTCTCAATTAATATTATCGTCAATGTGTCACGGTCGTAGTTCACGACTTTGATTAAAATGTAGTTAATTCTTTCATCTGTGGTTTTTTTTAAAGGAGAAACTTGATTATTTTTAACAACTCTTGTGTGGGATTGCCGAGTACAAAGACGAAATTATTGATACGAGATATAAAAATGATGAACTTATTGTATGAATGCAAATCATATTCATTATTATATTGTAGTCATAATTTTAGCTATCTTTTTAATTATCGAGTTATGTCCCTCTGTCCTTGCCTACCCGAATCTCTACCTACCCGTATTCCGATATACCTATGGTCCTACTTATCCATTTTTCTATCTACCTGCGTTTCAACTTAATGAACCTACAAGTCTTTCGTTAAAACCGCGACGCGATTTATAAAAGGTCCGATGAGGTCATAATGAGCGCGTGATTAGGATTTAATAGTATCAATGTACTCTCGCATTCTCGCACATATGCGAGAATATATGTATAAAGAAGAATAACCCACCCGAATTTTGATAAATATAAAGAGAAATCAAATTATCAGAGTGGCCAATATTGACCACTTATTTCGTTGTATCCAGTCATCCTTCGTTGGGCCAGATTGGACATACCTTTCGTTGCTCCTGGCCATACAGTCTGGTCATTTTGACCAGAGATCAGAAAGGAAGAAAACTCATCCTTCCATAGTCGGTTTATTATCGTCACCGACAAATATTTCGTACGGTTCGAACTAAATGCGAGCGTCGATCGTATCGAAAAATGTACGACTACGAGAGGTTAATTAAAAACGAATTTTGAGTCGAAAAAATTTACTGCATTAAACTAATAACTAATTAAATGTATTTCTGCTTCTATTATTTACTCGAGAGTATTGGCCGTCTCTTCGCGACTCGATCTTTAAATTCGAAATTCAAGTCTATACACAGAAAACATTTTACTTCGCGTTAGATTAATTTTTATTATATTCCGCGATAAATTAACATTTCTAATGTTTTTAAAAACCGATCGCGAAATATGAACGCGAGAACCGATCGCGAAATACAAACGCGAGAACCGATCGCGGATGTAAGAAGATGCGTATGAATACGCATGTTGTTCATGCGACACGCATCTTGAAAGTGTCGCGAAATATACCGAATAAATGACGTGAGATCCAGAATTACAGAACTTTCTCGTATAATAGAGATGATAATGTAATTGGATATTATAGGTAATCTTTAAGTGCCAATAATGTATTATTTGTAATTGTAATAATAATTTGAAATGTTTCAGCGCTCTCGACAAAACATTTTGAATCTCACGTCATGTTACATTACGTGTCAATATATTAATAAAAAAACAAAGCTTCCTCTATAAGGAAGCAAAATGGATAGATTACAACTGTTTAGCTCGACGAATACATCAATAAATCATTCGTCCTGTTCGCGTAATTTCTGCAATGTGGTTCAATGATTCTCAACATGGAAAATGAGCTCCATGCAATCAAACGGATGTGAAAGAAAATTCAAGAACCCGTTGAACTTTAAAGGCCCCGACAACTTCTCTTCGATAGATTAAATAAAAATCAAATAGAATGTGAAATTATATTGCAGTCCATCCATTTTCAGGCAACGAATCTGTCAATTACTACGATCTACAATACGTTCTACGATCTATGATCTACGATCTACAAGATGTCCCATACAGCACGCATGTTTAAAAGACATCTTTAATACGTCTTTAAGACGTCTTTTAGAGATGCATGTCTAGACATGCGTGCTGTATGGGGTAGATTCGTTGCCTTGGTAAAAAAGACTTGTCACTCACCGGACTGATGTGCAGCAGCGGAGTTAGTTACGTTGTGTCGATCCTGTAACATACAAATTCATATTAAAATAATGTTAACAAGATTTTGAGAGAGAGAGAGAGGGGGGGGGAAGGGGGAGGGGGAGAGAGGGAGAGAGAGATATTTAGATCTACGTGGACCGTTTCTGTGCATTATTTACGCGAACCTTTTCCATGAAACGATATTTGACGAATGCTCGTGCGAATCGTTCGAACGGTCGAGTCAAACAGACGGAAAGGCGAATAAAAGCAATCCGCGGAATGAAGTTAACGCAAGAAGAATGTATAAAATGTATGAATAATTGTACTCACCAGAGGGTTGCTCCGCCGTTGCCCGATGCCTCCCAGACCGCCGCTTCCTCTCAGATTTCTCCATTTCGCCCTGGCACACGGCACAACGCGGCACTCCGCGGCACTCGCGAAAAAAAGCTAATTATGTCCAAGTAACGCGCGACACGGCACTCCCGGCGTTAACCGACGCGAGCTCGTTACAACGTCAACGAGAGAGAGAGATACAATCGCGCGCGGGAATGCGAGCCGTCACGATGGCGTCGCGCGAAACCGCGGGAACGTCCCGGCGAGAAAGACTCGGAGATACGCGAGGCTTGACGCGTCTCGCAACCGAACGCGAGCGTTCAACGGGGCGAACACTTCTCTCGCCGTGCGTGGCGCGTGGAAAACTCGGGTATTTCTACACGCGCGAAGAGACACGAGTCAAAATTGGAGCTCGGTACACCCGCGACGCCGCGACGATCCGGCTGCGCCAAAGATTCCGCCCGGGATTTCTCGCGTGATTTACGCGTCTCGGTGAATCGCCGACGCATGAGCATCGAACAATCTCTACGCCGCGATTGCTCTATTTGATCAGCGTTACTCACCACCGTCGCGGAAAGCGTCGCGAAGAGCGTCGCGACGACCGACGGCGCAGGAGACCGATCCGCTGCTTGTCCACGGCACTCCGCGATGCTTCTCGAACAGACCAACATGGCGCCGTATCCGTCCGCCCCCGCGCTAACGGGCGATACTACGCGAGTCGAGTCAGCGACGCGACTATCCACTTTAATGACACTCGCGCTGTGTATCTCACACGCGTAAATTCACATGCCTTTTATTGATGAACAATCGACAAACTCGCGGCTTTCCTCTACTCACATCGAAGGAATAGCGAGCGCGAACGGTAGACGGCGATTCGACGGTCCGCCTTCCGTGCAAACGAAGACGGCGTCAGTAACACGATCGCGCACATCGTCCCGTGCCATTCGTACGGGCGGTTCGAATGGTAATGCTTCGTACGTCCGGTACGTCTCATTTCGGCGCGGCCGCCGCTCTTTTGTCTCGAGCCGCCGCGACCGCCGCTTGTTTACCTCGAGCCGCCGCGGCCGCTACGCGCCAAGGCCAAGGCCAAAGAACGTTCCGCGCGTCGTACCAGAAAAAAAACCTGAGAGCAGCCACGTCGTAGGATTTACGTGGGAACTTATTCTCATGTTGACATCGCCACTGAACGTGAATATAAAATTACGAAGACACATCCACTTATCGACGCAGTCGATAAATATCACTTTTTGACGTGTGTCCATCGGCCTATACCCAGTGAGAAATGATTCGTCGATCGACGTCGAAATGATGTCGAATCGATGTCAATTCGACGGTGTCGATGTCGATCGACGTCGTTTCGTCATCGATCGACGAATCATTTGTCGCTTATTTAGTGAAAAATGAATCATTTCTCACTAATTGTAAGTAGGCGTGTCTGATGTAGCACGGACACGCATCAAAAAGTGGTATTTATCGACTGTGTCGATAAGTGGATGTGACTCCGTAGTTCTTACATCTGCTTTTGGTGGCGGCAAAATCGGTCCCAAGTAAATCCTACGGCGTGGCCGCTCTCAGGCCTCTCTCTGCTCTCAATCGATGTTCGTCCGTCTTCCGCGTTTGAGACGGTTGCTAGGAAACCTTACGAGTTTGTACGTTTTACAGACCGTTTACTAAATGACTTCCGACTCGTGGTTGAATATTATTCAGAAGGCTAAGAAGACCGCTATTATCGAGGATGGTGAGCAATTAAATGGCTCTACAATTTATATGATTACTGTCGATCGTACCACGTCGATTCATGGGACGTCTGTTTCTAACCTAAAATTTTCGGGAGTAGCCTTGTGCAATTTTATGCAAGCTTGAGCAAGACCGTGGTATTATGTTAAAGTATCATAAACTACATAAATTTGTTATTAATTTTATAATAAATACCTTTTTAAATTGATATTTTTATTATGCCTAAATTTATGATTCTCATTGACTCTATTATGTTTTACAGGAACGAGAAAAGTCCATTTTTTGTTGGAAAACGGGAAGGAAATGGTAGAAGAATACAACATGAATACAAATGTGGTCGTGCGACGAGCGTGGAAGGATAGGAGTACTTTTGGCACGAACGTCGGATGGACGGTGGAAGTTGGCGATCCTGAACGTAGACGGAATGATATTGAGATATTTGGAATCGAAGAAAGTTCAAACGCTGTATGTCGCTTTCTTTTTGCTAGTAACGGAGTATATGTGTGCACAGACTGAACCGTAAGGGTCATCTCAACCTTTTACCATAAGAATTAGATCAGAGACTGTGATTCTAGTTAACAGAATGCTATAGGAGAAAAATAATTTTTTTCACAGTATATTTTATGCCATGCCAATACATTATTTTTCTCCTATAACGTTCAGTTAATCAGAATTATTCAGTAATTCAGTTCTTATGGCAAAAGGTCGGAACGATCTTTGCGGTTCACCCTGTATAACTCTGACATGGTTATGCTGGAACTTTAAGTAATACCTGTAATTGTATGTATGTTGCATTTTCTAAGTTCATCTTTTGCAGCCGTTTATTACAAGAAGAATAACGAAAACGGCCATGGAATGGCGAATCAGTAATTTGCCATATCCGGAAAGCGTGTATTCCGTCACTGCGGAATCTGATGGCACCATGACTGTACGTACAAGCAATAAGAAGTATTTCAAAAAGATGAAGATCCCAGATCTCGAGAGAATCGGGCTAAAGCCGGAACAGCAAAGGATATCATTTCGGCATCAGTACAATGCTTTAATTATAACTGTATGGGAAAATACTTTTTTTTTGTCAATATTTTTACTGCTGTATCGCTTGTTCGTTTGATATTTATTTTATTTCCGATTTTTATTTTAGTATAAAAAGCCCCCTCAACTTCTTGACGTGGAGAAGAAGATACTAACCACAGTTTTGCAACTCAAGACAGAGTCTAAGGACGTGCAGTGCCCAGTCAGTTAATGAAATTAAAGTTGTATGAGTACATGTTTTTGTTTGCTATTAAATAGCTTCTTTATATGTATGTAATAAGTGCAATTATAATTAAATTGTATTATTTATATACTTAAAACTTGTATCGGAATTTCTGTAATTAAAACCTCTCATCCCTTCAACTAGAGTGAAAAATAATAATATTCAAATTTCAAGTATAAGGTATTGTAAGGTACTTGTAAAAATGCCAAAAAAACTATAGAGAGTAACTAGAAGAATTTCTAATCTATATTGTAGTTTTTTTTTTCAAGTACATTTATCTTTCCACCGCAATAGCAACTTTCTCTATAGAGACGTCGATGGTGTAGCTCGAATCTACGAGAAATTTTACGAAACCTGAGAGCGGCCACGCCGGCGTTTTACTTGATACCGTATCAGGAGACTTTTGCGCGCCCTTACGCTTATTTTTACTTTTGGAACTATTTTTCTATGCATCTCTCGACATTGCCGATAAAGTCTCCACTTTGTGCGTGTTTATGCTACACCTATTTTCCAGAATTGTGCGGTGAATTTCAAAATTACATTAACATAAATTATCCGCATAATAATGTTTACATCAACTTTTTCATTTCGGTTGGTATCGGTTTCCCGCCATTTGTTCTTTCGAAATCCACCTTAACCCTTTCACGGCCGTATTACTTCCCTTTATTCTTTTTAAAGGATACTTTTTAAAGTGGAACCTGCGTGTTTATTAGCGCTGGTCTACAATACGTGGAGTAAGGAGTAAGGGAGAGCCCTAACTTGTAGCTTTCGGTGTAAGGAAGCTGAAATACAGGCATAATTTTTAAAATATTTGTAACTCTGATTGATAACATTTTGATTCACCGAGAGTAAACCTAAGTGCTGAAGTAGGAGTAAGAAATAAAATGGACTTATTTCCTTACTCCTACTCCTTACTCCAGCTTACTCCATGTATTGTAGACCAGCCTTTAAAGAAAGGGTTTAATCCCGCGCCAAATCGTTGCCGCGCGTCGAGAGATCGATCGATCTCGCAGCGCCGTCGATTCCGCGCGAGTGCGTCTGCTGCGGCTGACCAACCGTACGTGTGCGCGCGCCCGCGCGTATTGGTGTGTCACGGCTGTGGTATTGCGTATCAAGTGTTATGCCGTTTCCCCCACGAGATTTCTGAACGGACGGCAAACATGACGGGTTCGGTACCGGACAGGTAAGCAGCTCTCCGCTCGCCGCGCGGCCGGGCCCGCCGCGTTGCCGCGGGACGGCCGAGATCGCCCGCGCGGCACGATCGCGGGCGGGCTCGTGTCGCGGCGAGGTTATGTACGCGCCGACCATCTCGCTGGCGTCGCGGGCGCGTTTCCCGCGCCCGCGGACGCCGGCAACGCGATCGCGCGCGACCGCCGATCCGCCGGGCGACGCGCGGCTTTCGTTTGTCCGGCGCGGTAAGCGGAACCGGTAGCGAGACGTGGCCCCGCTATTTCCGGGAAAGCGAATTCCAAAGCTATTTCTCGGGGACGGCCGACTTACCGACGGAGCGCGCGTGCGCGCCCGCTCTCCGTTTCCCGCCTCTCTCCCCGAGATGGCGCCGCTTGTCCAAGTCTAACCGCCGGTTGAAAATTGTGAGTCGTTTCGTGGGTCGCTCGGTCGAATCTTCCTCGCCAATTTCGATACGGTACTTGGTAATTATCGCGCCGGGCGTTTGGTTTTCTCAGCAATCTGCCCTCGCGAAGTCGACCGACGTTGAGTGGAGAGAGCGGGGCGGAAAGTGAACGCGTTCCCGCGACGTGGAAGCGCGTCATTTTCGTAGGTATCGATTTGGATCCGCGCGGACGACGAGGCGCGAGACGACGTCCAAGGGGGTGCGTTCCGTTTCACGCGTGATGTGCATGATGCATCATTTATCCTTGCACGCGTGAAACGGAACGCACCCCAAGTACCTCGACGTTTCAAACGTGTCGTCTTTCCGAGCGCGTAAGGACGCGCAAAATACCGGCGGGCGCGTTTCCCGCGACGCCGGCAACGCGATCGCGCGCGACCGCCGATCCGCCGGGCGACGCGCGGCTCTCGTTTGTCCGGCGCGGCAAGCGGAACCGGTAGTGGGACGTGGCCCCGCTATTTCGGGGAAAGCGAATTCCAAAGCTATTTCTCGGGGACGGCCGACTTACCGACGGAGCGCGCGTGCGCGCCCGCTCTCCGTTTCCCGCCTCTCTCCCCGAGGTGGCGCCGCTTGTCAAGTCTAACCGCCGTTTGAAAATTGCGAGTCGTTTCGCGTATCGCGCGGGTTGCTGAGCCTCGATTGAATCCTCCTCGCCAATTTCGACACGTTACTTGGTAAGTATCGCGCCGGGCGTTTGGTTTTCTCAGCAACGTGCCCTCGCGAAGTCGACCGACGTTGAGTGGAGAGAGAGCGGGGCGGAAAGTGAACGCGTTCCCGCGAGGTGGAAGCGCGTCATTTTCGTAAGTATCGATTCGGATCCGCGCGGACGACGAGGCGCAAGATGACGTCCAAGGGTGCGTTCCGTTCGTTCCGTTTCACGCGTGATGTGCATACCTCGACGTTTCAACCGTGTCGTCTTTCCGGGCGCGTAAGGACGCGCAAAATACCGGGATCGGAGAGTCGAGTCGAATTGATAAAAAAGGTATCCTTTGATGAATCCGGCTCTCGGATTCGGCCGGACTCTCTCCCGCTGCCAAATCGCCGCGAACGCGACGCCGTTTAGTATCAATTCTCCATGTTTTTTTTCTCTGGTTTCAGATGGTTAGAGTACAAACCTTTCGGCGATGCGATCAAGGGCACCAAGATCATAGCGTTCAAAGTGCCGCTGAAAGATGTGAGTATCTCTGCGCTATTCGACGTACTTTTTGACTCGCTGTACGACTTTCATTCGCATACGACGTGCGCGATTGCTTGAGAGAACAATATCGAAAGAGAGAGAAAAAAAATAACGTCCAGTTTCATCAACGTCGACTAACTTTAAACGTACAGTTAGTTGAATTACTTTACCTCATCCTTTGTTTCAATTGTTTCCTTAAAAAGAGACAAACGTTGAATTAAACTAGAATTAAAGTTAAACGACGTTGGCGAAATCGGGTCTGAATCGGTGAGAACAGAATGGATGCATGTAACAAAATCATGTATATTTGAAAAAGAAAAAGAACGAAAACTGTTTTATAAACGTCATATTAATTTTTTCAGAAAATTTCAGACCACTTTCCCGTGAAAGGGAGTCTCTTAAGATAAATGTTGACTAATTTTTCCAAACATTTTAGTTTCATGTCGGAGCAGGAATCAACCGTTAACTCAATTTCGGCCGAGATGTTACGCGTCGCCTTCTGTTCTCACTGCGGCGCCAGTTTTATTTACATTTTCAATATACAATTGAAAGAGAGAGAGAAATCTTTTGGATTGGAAAAAGAATGCCGTCGAAATCGCGGTTATAACGAATGAACGAGACAAATGTAACGAGCGTCACGTGTGTGACGCATTTCTTATATCTTTCCGAATGACGAAATAAGCACGATGTAGAAATCGATTAGGATGAATGAGAGAAATGTGACGGACATGAGAAACGCGATGCATTCCTTATATTCCGAGAGCATTGATCCCCGCGTTGCGAATACAGTGATAAGACGTATCTGTACTTTGATAAAGCGTTGTACCTGCGCGGTCTACTTGCTAGGAACGTTTAAATTTAACGCTGGAGGGCGAAGGAGAGGCGCGTCTCGACACTCTCTTGATTTAACTCTAAGAAGAAAAGTTGTCGCGGAACGCAGCCGCGGTTCGCTCGGAAACGGAGCGCCGCTCCTTGGTCCGTCGTCCCCCTCCGGCTTCTCCCCCGCGTCCCGCGACTGTCCTCTCCCCTGTGCCTCTTCTCCGCACTAAATCAAAGATGCTCTTCGCGGGAGTCGTGGCGGCCCGGAGCCGCACGGCAGATAAGATCGCGTCGGATTCTCGAAATGGACGACGCGGCAGGTACACGCGTCGCCGCTACGCCACGTGCGCGCGCGTGTATGAGTGCGTGGGGCACGCAGGCACTCACGCAGGCACTCACGCACGCACGCAAGCCGTCGTGGGATCGCGGCACGGAACCCCGTTAAATCGATGCGACGTCGGGGAACCGGTGGAAACGAGAGGGTGGCGGCGGGAGAGTCGGCGTCTACCCTGACGGCGAGGGCAGGGGGTAACGGGAGGGTGGGAAAGCGACGTCGTGAGATCTCGTATCGGCCGCGGCCAAATTGTCGTATTGTTGCGCACGATGACCCACTCCGTAGGTACAAACAGGCTTGATATACGCGCGCTTCTTCAGCTGACGCTGCACACACGGCGTGCTGCATCTCGCCGGCCTCCGAGAGTCTGAATCCACCGGCTGGATGAAATGTACGTCCCGCAATGCCGGCGCAAGCTGCTTGACGTTACCCTCTAAAAGTCAATCAGCGGATTATCACTGAAAACAGTCAACTGATTGACTTTGAGAGAGCACGTAGCTTGACAGCCACGCGGCGAATGTACATAATTGTTGCATTGTATTTAGTAGAGGAAGGTCCCCTGTTATAGGCTTCTAATACGAGATAGTAGGTTTTCAACATCCAAATTCAGTTGCAACCTTCTTTCGCGACGATAACACAATCTGACAGTGGATTTTCCACTAAATATATCTCGATCCATGGGCAATAAATTCATGGTGCAACCAACAGACAATTAATTTAGTAGAAACCCCGTTGTCTCGTATCACGAGACTTTCCTCTATATTACTATGTGACTATGACAATCGTGCTACTCCGTTTTATCACTGTTATCTCATTCAGTACCAGGCAATGCCGAACTTTCGCACCGACAAAAATTTTAATTAAACGCCACGATGGTACTTTTTTTTATATATTTAGAGACCAAATGGGCGGGCGCAAAAGTTTCGCGGACGTTAATTGTACACACTCGCATGAAAAAGACGCCTTTCGCAAACGGGAAAATGCTGTCAGCGGCTGACAGCTGCGCGGTGCTTTTACCGTCAAAAATAATAAGTCGAGATCACACACTGTCGCTTCCTGGTTATCGGCCCTCGGGCCGCGCATACGCCACGTTGCATATGCTGATTATGGGCGGCGCGGCGCGTAGTCTCCTAATTGACGGCGCAACGGTGCCCAGGTTTCACAGGACATAAAACACTTTTATATACCTTCGGCTCCGCGCCGAGATCTCATTAAAGCACGTAACGATAGTCCGCCTAATTGACCGCGCTATGCTACGACGGCGCACTCCCGATCGGCGTGTACTTACGCTCGTCGGATCTCTCCGCCAACATAATCTCTCTCGCACCGTCGTGATTCTCGTTATCTCGCCAAAGATTAGACAGGTCATTTTTCATGACAATTATGCTAACGATAGCCTATATGTTAATCAACGTTGCACAATTATCGATTAACATACCGCGACCGATATGGGCAATAGCTGGTGGATGATGACGGTGGTCTCTGTTTCTTTTGGTAAGGAAAATTACGATTCTTTATCTTATTTGCCTGCCGACGATGCTGTTTACTCGCGTCTGTTACTGCAACATTTATCGCACAACGATGCAACGTTGTCGTATACTTAATTAATAAAGATAATGTTGTTAGGATATCTTTAAAGGTAAAATTGATGACGCGCGCGAATCTCATTGACGTTGGCCCGTTGACGCGAACTTTAATAGCTCGCCTAAAGACTCGGGGGGTGACCTGGCGCCGTACCTTATCCAGCGTCCGCCGGATCTATCGCAGGCCGACCGTGTCAAAAAGCCGCGGGATCCGAGCGGCGAAATTAGCGATCCTAATTCGCCACGCGGTCGGAGGTGAGCGGCAACGTTCCGATCCCCCGTTTTGTCCCGAGCTATTTAATTTCCGCCTAACTCGCGGCCCCGGAACCGGTTTTTCCCGTCCCGTGGCCGTTCCCGCGCGCGCAGGACAGTTGCAAATAAGTTTCGGCTCGCCCGGGATCGCCCGCTATGCATATACGTTGCGCATGCATACGCAAAATAGGAGGGTGCCAGGGCTAATTGATTCTGGCGTCGCGGGCATTACATAAAACAAGTCGAAGCCCGGGCCCCGAATTGGACTCGGGGTTGATTGGGCCGGCGGCGGTGGCCGCGGGGGGCCGCTCGTTAATAGGGCCCTCAAAGGGCCCAGTGCCAGCACCCATTCTTAGGCCTTACCCCGGCTCGCGCACGGCGAACGCTTCTTCATCATCTATAAGAACTCGTAACAAATATCGGCTCACACGAAACGTGATACGCTCTTCGCCGACGACGGCTCACCTTTCTGTCCTTCTCTCGTTCTATCCCTGATTGGGGAACGATGCTGATCCGACGGATTTAAGATGGCGCTGGTCGTGTGCTCTCGCTGGACGCATCCCCGTGCGAAATCGCCTCTTCTTCGATGAATTATGGAAATGAGAGGAGAAACGCGTTTATAAATAGATCCTCTTAAATCTCGAAACGTTATATAAATATTGCTCCCATCTGTAAATATTTCCTTTTATCACTTTTACGTAATAGCTAACTGGAGAATGAAAGTAAACTTGTGTGAAAACTGATTGGCTCTTGATTATTTCTTATTTTGACTAAAATTCAAGTTAAACTTCAAATTTGTTCTTAATGATGAGTCTACGTCTACTCTTTGGCAATGATGTGTAAATGTATTTTCAGATAATCGTAGATAAAAAGATAGCTATCACGTTTCCTTTCCGAGCGATAACACGGACCGCACATCTCGATCGACTATATGTTCTTTTCTCCTGGACTGTCGCAGGCAATGTGGGCGATTTCTGCACGGTGGTAGAATATTAATTTCGTGTCGAGGAGCTAGGCCCCGCTCGAGAAGATAGTCGTCTCTTCGTGGGTGATATCTGTATTTCAACCCTCGAAAATCCCAAACATTGAGATCGTTATCGCATCAACTTCTCAGTTACACGCGGGCTACTCGCCCTCGTCGTATAAGCAGCCGTGTCTTCGGGGATAAGACGAATGGGGGGATTGATCATTTTGTGTTTTAAATTTGCCTAACGTTTCCTAGAGGAATGCATCCCTCCAACGGTGCACCGAAGGATAACGCGTTTCGATTCACGCGATGCAATTTATTCTCCCTATCTGCAATTTAAATCAGCCAGCCACGAATGCGCGCATTGTGGTGTCGAAATTATTTACAGAATTTTCACTGAACGTGACATAAGACCCGACTGTTGACGTATATTTGTGACACGGAGTACAATTACGATTTTACTTCGGTTAAGATAGTTATCGGGGAAAAGGAAGCACGCGACATTCTTTAGAGATGTACGCATACGTCTCTATTTTATATAGAGATTCTAGTTTTTTGAACCGTTGAAGCTTAATGAGACTTTTTCTCGACGCTCGTTCGTTAGAATTTCACAGTCTAGTCCTGATCGTGCCCAAATATCCCGTCTGATTAATTCCATTATGATAACCAAGGAATGTAGGATACCTCTTTCCAGACGACCCTTTCGTTCCTCTCACAAGCTTTTACCTGCATTGGGAAAAGTGCCGGCCACGCGAATGACGACGTGAGCGGCCCTCGGTCTGAGAATCGCCTCTGTGATTTTTGAAACGTAAACGGCTCCTCGTTACATCTCCAAGGATATCGTATCGATTCGCCGCTCCGACGAGTGCAGCAGTCATTATTCACGACTGCCATAACATGACGTTTTTGCTAGCATATCACGTGGGATTAGCCGCAAACATTTTTTCACGTATGATTTATGAGCGAGATTCCTCGCGAACTTGGTCGCTCGTATTCGTGTCACGGACCGGAGTCCCGCGTCCTTCCGACCGGCCCTCTCGTC